ACAATGTTTGCTGACCTGATCCTCATCAACCAGTAGATAACAAGCTGGTTCCTGGACTTCACCGAGGAAAACGATGTATCGGAGCAGTTGAGTACGAAGTCTGGGCTCTGATGCTTCTGTTCTCAGGCAAGTAACTTACTTCTCATCATTTTCACACGTGAAACTGGAGTGATACAGACAGTGAGGACTGAGAGGGATAACGTCTGGACCGTGCTTAGTGCAGGGTCTGATGGCTGGCAAGGATGCTATAAAAAGTTGGCTATTATTAGCTATTAAACTTCAACTGTTGAAAGGCACAAAGAAACTCCCAGAAGAGGGTCACTGCTGCATGCAGCTTTCTCTAGAGAAGGCCCAGTAGTAATCTCATAGAAAGCCAAGAGAGGATGGGAATGTCACAGGTGAGCTCTCCCAGGCAACGCACCCGCTAAATTAACTATTCCAACTCCTTTGCAGGAGGGCAGCAGATTAGACCGTGAAAAGAAAGGGGAGCAAAGGTTAAGGCCCCAAGGTCTAGCACAGTATCGTTAGTACCTGGCGCATAGTAGGTACCTGGTGTTTGTTGGAATGAATGAAGGCTGGTTGTTTAACCATAAAAGAGGTTTATCAGTCAAAGGGCACCTCTAATCTGTGACGATAAGACCACGTCGAGCCAGAGGTAAGATTTCTGCCTCCGATATCTTAGGGTCTTAGGAATGAAAGCAATATGATGAGAGGAAACTCAAAACAAGGAGCCTGCTAATGTTTCCCACTGCAGGACGGAGGCATTGCAATGGATTCCTGGGGAACAGATGGACAAAGAAAAATGTTTAAAAACAAAAGCAGGCACATAAGATCATGAATGGGCCCAGAATAACTCGGGACACGGAGCAGACGGATGTAAGCGGCGCATCTTGATGGAAATGAGGCCAAGCTGATGAGCCGAAAGAGTTTACCCTCACCTGGCTCCCTAACTCCTGCTTTAGGAAACTCAGTACGAAAAAGAGGAGCACATGGGCTTCTCTGGTGGCTAAGAATCCGCCTGCCGATGCAGGGGACATGGGTTCGAGCCCTGGTCCAGGAAGATCCCACATGCCGCGGAGCAACTAAGCCCGTGAGCCATGGCCGCTGAGCCTGCGTTCTAGAGCCCGTGAGCCATAACTACTGAGCCTGTGTGCCACAACTACTGAAGCCTCCATGCCTAGAGCCCATGCTCCACAACAAGAGAAGCCCGTGCACCGCAACAAAGAGTAGCCCCCGCTTGCCACAACTAGAGCAAGCCCGGGCGCAGCAACGAAGACCCAACGCAGCCAAAAATAAATAAATAAATTTATGAAAAACAAAAACAGGAGCACATTAGCATTAGCAGGTTTTGGGTTTCCTCTCATCGTTAGTGTATTGCTTTCATTCCTAAGGACCTAAAAAATTGGAAACCACTCCACTTACCAGGAACACACTTTGGAACGCGGATCCGGGGGAAGCTGTTTTTTTCCGCAGACACTTTCATGACTCCGGTTTCCACAACAGCAGGCACTGATGGCTCTGCCAAGTTGCTGGAGAAGGGCACCTTATCTGCAAAGTCACGAATCCAAATGGGCCCCCATTGGCAAGGGTGGAAGGAAGTTGTTTGGCTTAGCTTCTTGGGGGATCAGAAGATTGGAAGTTCTGGTGGGGGGACTGCAGGTACCTTGCTGTCCCTTGGCACAACGTCAGGGGAAAGAAAGGTTGCTGGTAGCTTCTCAGAGCTACCAGTTGGGGCTGTGCAGAGCATCTTAGTAAATGCCATTTTGGTTGCAAATAACAGAAACTCAAACCGGCTGAAGCAAAAAGGGGACATCTATGGGGAAGAAAAGACGGCTCCTGCCTGTCCAGACTCCTCAGCTTTGCTTGCCCTTTGATGCTCTAACCTTCCTCATTTCCTTTCAGTAAACTCTTTTTCTGTTTAAGTTAGCCACAGGAGATTTCTGTTGTTTGCAACCAGAGAATCTTGAGTGATACAAAAAGTCCTAGTGGAACCCAAGGGCAGGCCTTGGAATGGGCCTTTCCAAGGAAAGAAACCAGGAACCAGAAAGTCATCAGGAATCAGGGCAACTTTTTGCATCAGTTGGAATGCCTTCAGCTTTAAACAACAGAGACCTGCGCGTGGGTAGATTGTAAAAATTTGGAGCCCCTCCCAAATGAACTCTAGCCATGTGGCTTGCTTTGTCTGATGAGATGTTGGCAAACACAAGGCAGGTGGAGACTTGAAAAGTGTGCTTTGGGGCTTGCTCTCTCCTGTTGCTCTTGGAAACCTGTACCCACCACACGTGGCCTGGTCTGGCCTGCTGGGTGATGAGGGACCACACCAGGCAGAATCAGACATCCCAGCTGAGGCCTTTCTAGACCAGGGTTTCTCCTTCTCGGTACTATTGACATTTTGGATCAAATAAGTCTTGGTTGTGGGGAGCTGTTCCGTGCGCTGTAGGATGTTTAGCAGCATCCCTGGCCTCTACCCCTAGGTGATAGTATCACCCCCACCCCGGTTTAACAACCAAAGTGTGTCCAGACATTGCCAAAGGCCCCCTGGGTGGCAAAATCACCCCCAGTTGAGAACCACTGCCCTAACCCAGCCAATGACCAGGCAGGCATGTACACGAAGCCACCCTGAACTAGCCCCAGCCAAACCAACCGGACCAGTACAAGTGGCCAGCTTGACGCGTGGAATCATGAGAAATAAGAGTTGCCATTTTAAGTCACTAAGTTTTGCGTGGTTTGCTCCACAGCACAGACAGGTACATCTGACTACAGTGGCTTAAACTGATAGGGACTTATTTATTTATACAACAGGATGGACAGAGGTGGGCAGTTCAGGTACAGCTCAGAGCACAGTGGTGCCACTAGGCTCCCACCCAGACTTCTCATGTCTTTCTACTCCATTGTCCTTTGAGGTGGGCTTTGGTCTCTTGCTTGTTACCTGGTGATCCCCAACACGGCTGCTCCAGGTCCAAGTCTGAGCTCCAGGAGAGAAAAAGGAGACAAGGCAAAGGGACAAAGAGAAAAACTTTCTCCTAGCAAAGCCTTGTCTTTAATTCCAGAAGGGAAGTCCTGCCCAGGGCCTTCACCTGCATGTCATTGGCCAGAACTGAACAACACAGCCAGGTCTAGCTGCAAGGGAGGCTGGGAAATGAGGGCATTTAGCGTGCTGCTTATACAGTAGAGGGAGGCAATGACTAAGGGGCTTGTAGTGTCTGCTGTACTGTCTCTCTGGGGGTCGTCTTGGTTTCTTCTTCTTTTTTTTTTTTTTGCCATGCTGTGTGGCTTATGGGATCCTAGTTCCCTGACCAGGGATTGAGTCCAGGCTCTTGGCAGTGAAAGCGCAGAGGGGACCGCCAGGGAATTCCCTGGGTCTTGGTTTCTTGTCTCTACTTGTTGCTTATCTATCCTGGCCATCTCTTTCTAAGACTGCCTTTGTTTCTCCAAACACAGTGGGAGAAATGGCCACCCCAGCTGGGAACTGCATCAATACCTTCAGCTCCGGACCATTAATGACGCTGTGTGGTAACTCCGTGTCCCACTTCCAAATATCAAGGGCACAGGTGCTGATTGGCCCAGCTTGGGTTAGAAGAGAAACCTGATTGGTCTGGCTTGGGTAGACTATCTACTGATCAGCCAATCAGGTGTGGCTAAGAGCAGCAGTAGGTGGGGTAAACCTGGTTGGGGAATGTGCATTCTTAGAGAAAGGGGTGTGTGGCTGAGGAGACATCTAAAGAACCATCTAGTTCAAGGAGTGGAGAAAGGAAATTGCCATTGTGGGTTGCAATGTTGATATGATACAAATTAACACGTCCTCTGAAAGACCTCGAATACAGTGGAGTCACATAGGCATTACATTTAACTTATGCAAATTCAAATATTTGTATTCAACCAGAGTATTTTTTTCCCCGCACAATTTGGCTTCCAAACGTGAGCCAGCTGCCTAACTACTGCCTGACCAAGTGATCTTTCCTGGTGCTGGAGATGGCTGTTTTGGATTTGGGGATATGGTACAGTATAAGTAATATGTTCTTTATGGAAAACTGCTGGGATTTTCAAGATTATTTTTAAGGTCAGGTGATGCTCACCCTTCTCACTGTGTAAGAAGTACCTTTAGTGGAAGATCATGCAAATAATTTTTCCCATTTCCTTCTAGTTTTAATCAGTATAAAGAATGCATTTGGTTTTAAAATATCAAAATATTTTTATTGTGGCTTTTTTTTTTTTTTTTTTTGCGGGCCTCTCACTGTTGTGGCCTCTCCCGTTGCAGAGCACAGGCTCCGGACGCGCAGACTCAGCAGCCATGGCTCACAGGCCCAGCCGCTCCGCGGCATGTGGGATCTTCCTGGACCGGGGCACGAACCCGTGTCCCCTGCATTGGCAGGCAGATTCCCAACCACTGCGCCACCAGGGAAGCCCTATTGTGGCTTTTTAAAAATAAAAAATAAATGATATTCATGACTTCTGGCTCTTCCTTCTGTTTTGTTTGGTGGCCTTTGGCCATACAAGAAAGGCAGGGAGAGAACAAATGGCTGGAGAGAAGGCAAAAATGAGGGTCTCTTCGAACACCATGGGAAAGGGGTGTGTCCACCTGGGCAGTGTGTGCTCTTTGATGACTGGGTACTTGGTCTGTCCTGATGGCCTGGGACTTGACCTACTGGGCTGTCTTGGTGCGGCAGAATGGGCAACGTGAGATGGAGTTAGAAACCTGGGTTCCAGACCCAATTCTTGAATTTACTAGCTGTGTGACTTTAGATGGGCCATTTAACCTCTCTGGGCCTCAGCTTCCTCATTTGTAAAATGGGGAACATAATGCTATTTACCTCCCAGGGCTTGGGAGAGGATTAGATGAGAAGTGTTTTGAAAACCGCAGAACGCCATATAAACATGACTCAGTGTTATGGAAGCGATAAAACAGGTTGATGTTCAAATTTATTATAATAAATTCAGATATAAATGCACTATACCATGGCCCCAACAGCCCTGAGGTTACCATTCTGTCCTGTGGACACGCCCTGGGTTTTCTCAACTGCGGGTTTCTCGGAGCTCCTTGGAGGTGTGACATTTGGGTTTGTCACTACCCAAACACATAATTGTATCTACCGGGCCTAGGAGTCTGAATTTCAAACTTATTCTTCATACGCCTGAGTATGTTTACATTCATAATATCTGTGAAAAGAACCCCTCTCCTCACACACTCCAAAATACAGTATTGTGCAAAATACCAGTCTAGGAAGAAACACACTAGGGTAGCAACCTTTAAAGTCCTAAAAAGGCATCTTAGTAGTTTGACGCAGAAGAGTTACACTGACTCACGGAGGATCACGCGAGGCCCAGCGGGACGACGTTTCTAGTTCCTTCCACCAGGTTTAGAAAACAGAAGGCTCTGGCTGGATTTGCTGGACGCTTCTCTCTTCAGCATCTCCCTTTCTTGGTCCATCTTTGGGGTGTCTTTTCTGGCTCCAACCTTCAACAAGCAAGAGCAACAAATGCCCAGACTCTATAATTGTAGGGAGATCCCCAAATATTTCTCAAATGGCATTTTTTTTAACTCAAAATAAAACCTTTGTTGTAAAAAATATTTATATACACACATAGACGTGAGCAAAACGAACGCAAAATGATCCACCATTATCACACTACCCACAGGTAACCTTATTCACATTTTGGTGTACACTCTTCCAGATACACAGATAACATTTTCTTCTTACATTTGCATCTTTTTTCGAACCAGGAGTTTCTGATTATAGGCACATTCATTGGGATGGACTTTCGCTCGAAAAGCTGTTACTGAATGGAATGCCTTATGTCTCTGATGTCTTAGGAGGGGAAAATGCAGGATACTCTAGGGGGTCGTCTAACCCTTTTCTGAGCACTACTCCTGGCTCCAGGCAGCCATGTGTGTGACTCTGTCCCTGGTCATAGCTGATCGGGCACTTGGCACGGGCTGGGCTTTTAAAATGGTCACTCCCAGGATTTGGAGTTATGGGCTCTAAGATGCTACTTGCTCCCTGGGCTGGTCCTTTGAACTGGGGGACCGTGAGGTCATTCCTTCCTGTCACATGACTGGAGAGAGCAGAGATCAGGGGAGCCATGCAGAGACACAGAGAGGAGATATGGCCTGTGTGTGTGCGTGCACATGCTTGTGTGTGTGTAAAAGAGATGATGCCTGAGATCTGATGGCTTACCAGTTCTATTTCGAGGCCAGGCTCTCTTTCAGCTCTCAGTTTTTATGAGGCACTCACCCCTATATCCTTAAAAAAGCCCCCTCCCTCTTTTTTTCTTTTTTGCGGTACGCAGGCCTCTCACTGTTGCAGCCTCTCCCGTTGCAGAGCACAGGCTCTGGACGCGCAGGCTCAGCGGCCATGGCTCACGGGCCCAGCTGCTCTGCGTCATGTGGGATCTTCCCGGACCGGGGCACGAACCCGTGTCTGCTGCATCGGCAGGCGGACTCTCAACCACTGCGCCACCAGGGAAGCCCCCCCCTCCCTCTTTCTGAATAGGTTTCTATTAATTGCAACCCAAGAATCTCACTCACACAGTTCTGTATGTACTACAGATGCCACTGTACCTTGCAAGTTTCTTCCCAGCAGGTTTCACACTGCCTTCCTGCAAGCTTTTGACTCCAACACATGCCCCTGGGGGAAGAGGGCTGGTGGGTAGTCAGCTGGTTTCAGCTGGTTTCAGTCAGGTGGTTTCAGCTCTGCCACTGACTGCGCGACCCTTGGTTTCCTCATCTGTCAAATAGGGACCAGAATGTCCTGTCTTTCTCAGGGGTTGAGAGGAGGTTCTGGGTGGGTTTCAATGGAAGGGGCTGTTAGGACCATCTCCGTAGCTCTTTTCTCTTTAAGACAGGTTTAAAAATCATCTCCTGTGCCAGACCTGTGCCAGTGGCTGACTTGAATGTGTTGTGAGACTGCATTCAAAATCATTTCAAGGAAAAAAAAAATCATTTCAGAGTAAGAAAGGCTAACATCTCTACACTAGCCCACAAAGTAAATCTTGGCAGGAATGCCCAGTTAAAGGGAAAACAGACAGGAAATGTAGAAAATCTTTCGCCTCTAAACCACTTTTCCTTTGTATCCTTTTTTATTTGATTTTCAATAAAATTGCTGGCTCTGGGTGTTTCCCAGATGCCAGTGCCCTGACCCGGTGTGGGGCTGGCTGTCGGAGTTGGAGTCTGGGTGTTTGTTTAAAAATAAAGATTCCTCGGTCCCAGGGTCCCCCGAGCCCCAGGTCTGCCACGAGCTTGGGGTGGGAAGCACCACAGAGCAAGCTTTGGTCCCCTTTCTTGAGTGGGGGGACGGGGGCAGCAGAAGGCAGACGGGATGGCTGAACTGGGAAAAGGAAGAGATGGGGAATGGGAAACGTGAAAATGCAAGTGTGGGCCCGAGGCTTGGGGGAACCTGGCAAGGTCCGTCTTGAACCAGTGACCACAGGCAGCGACATGCGTTCAGCCTGAGTGTTTGGAACCACATGCCCCGTCCTTAGAAGGACAAGGCAGGGGTAGAAGCCCCTCATTTAAAGAACAACATCTAGATTGGAAATTTGGAAATTAACTGGAAATTAACTCAGGGCATACTGGAGTGGCTGCTTTGGGCATCTGCAAGCATCGGTTCTAGAAAGATCCCAGTTCATTCCCACACCACCTCAGGTCTTGGTTTTAAACATCCCCCTTTCAGGGAGGCCTCTCTTGGCCCTTGACCTGGGAGTGTGGGGGAGGGAGGTCCCTGTGAAATACGCTCCTGAGCTCAGTGCACTGGCCTTTGTCCTCAAAAAGCAGTTATTTAATCATTATATTCATTTATTTATCCCAGAATAAAACCCAGAAAGACAAGGAGTTTTGTGTGTTTCTTCATTGATCTAACCCAGTGTTTCCCACCCTTTTTTTCGGTATCGTTCTTCCCCTAAGGAGCCTTCTTAGGCATTTTTTCCTAATTGCTCTCACGTCCATAAAATTTGAATATTACAGAGAGCGCTGTGCATACGTCTGCGCTTTATATATTAAAAAAGTAGAGTTTTGGCCTTGCAGGGGTGATATGGCTCCCACTGAGAACGGGATTGAACCTTAACACCTGGACAGTACCCGCCATATATCGTAGGCTCTCAACAAATATATGTTGAATGAATGAGGGCTGGAATCATATCGTCTTGTTTATTCTTCTATCCCCAGTTTCTACCACAATATGTGGCCTAGACTAGGTATTCAATAAGTATTTGTCAACTAGAAGATTTCCCCCTTTAGCATATGACTGACAAACAATTATAGAGGACTGTTAGCTGCAATGGAAAAAATATATAAAATCAATGAATGGCATTTGGAGGACAGAAAACAAAAAACCAGAGGGTCTTAAAAAGGTAGGAGGTGTTAGTTCTGAAGCTTGTTAGAGATGGAGACTCTCTTACGAGTGGGTGAGACAGAGCAGATTTTACACGTCCCATCCTTTTCAAGGTGGTCCTGGTGACTCCATCCCCCGAAGGACTCCAGGCCCACTCTTGAGGAAGGAGTCGCCCAAGTTACACTTGGCAAGGAACCTGGAGGAAACCTTTCTGTACTGAGGAGATCCTAGACACCAAACTTCTAAGCTCAGGCTGGAGGGCAGGGAGAATGGGAAGCTGGCTCTTTGCTCTTAGCCGAAGCACCATGTGCCCCGCTTCTGTTAAGGCCAGAGGCAGCGTGAAGTTCCAGGGGGTCTCACATCTCAGAGAAGCACAATGTTCCCACAGCATCCGGGACCCATCCCAATACCTCCTCTGCCATTTTATATCCCCAGGTGGTCCTCAGACAAAACCTAGATGTAGGGTAGTTTCTGCCTCCTCCCAGCTCAATCGTATATGTGAATGAATAAGGAACAAACTTCCAGTCATTTCCACTTTGCAGGGTGGCAAACGTCTCAGATCAAGTGGGGCCCTCAGGATGCTCTCTATCCTCTTAACATGCTGCTCTGGGTAGTAACCACCTTCTGGTCTTAGCACAAGGATGCTGGTTGAGAAGCTTCTATTTTCCAAATATATCCCTCACCTAGAATATCTTCGTTTCTTCCCATGATAATGTGGTTGCCTCAGCATGACTGTGGCCTTTTAACAAACTTGAATGTCTCCTCTCTCATATTCAACCAAAATGTGTTTGGCTTTCAAGCTTCCTGAGAGCTCGCCTCTACTGTCTGCAAAGTGGGAACGTGGATTGGCTTAATTCCAGTTCCAGGGCTGATTTGTCAATGGCAATGTTTCAACATGTTCAAGATTTCATAGTCTTAATTCTCAACTTTTAAGAGAATTCTAGAGGATGCTTCCTTGAAATTTAAGAGAAATGCCACTGGAAATGTATCAGGTTTATTACCTGGAGGTTTATAACCTAAAGGAGGAAAAGCTAGCACTCACCTGGGTGTCAGGTCTGCACTAATTCCCAGCTCTCCTAAAGTCTCTGAGCCTCAGACATCTCATCTGTAAATTGGGTATAATAACAACACCCACCCCATAGGCTTGTTGTGAAGCTTAAATGAGATACTGCACGTCGAGTGTTTGGCTCTGTGCCTGGCACATGCCGAATGCCCAATACATAATAGATGTGGGATAACTGTCAACTGGGCTTCCTGCTGACGTTCTATGGTTTTCTCTCTTCTCTCTTCTGGCTCACCTGGAAATGTGAGTTCTGCATCTTTTGAGTTCTTCACCATCTCTACAAACATTCGTCTCTTTAACACAGAAAGAATATTGACAAAATTTAGCTTATGTTCTTCTTTGCCTTTTGCATCGGAGAAAAATGGATTTTTCTCAACTTTCAGATGCTACCCATTTGGATGGAATGTTGAGCCTTCCTAGGTGAGGAGGTGAGGATGGAGGTCTGCAGAAGGGGGTGCGGCTTTGGGGCAATGCTACACTGTCCTGCTGAACCTTTTAGGGAATCTCTGTTCCAGATTGCAGCAGAGAAGGAGGTGGTCAACCAAGAAGGCTATGAAGGATACTGTATTCTTCTTGGAGGACAGATCTGCTTTAGCTGGAAGCAGAGCCTCCTAGATCAGTGGAAGAGGCTGTAGATGTCCAGTGGCTTTCCACCCAGTGGAAATGTTGAAAGCCCCAGTGGCTAACCTCCCTGGCGGGGACTACAGGGGCCTGTTGGGAAGCCAGCATCACTGAAAATCTGGAGCTTGCCACTCCCCTGGGGTTTGATTACTGTTGCTGACCCTGATCTGCTCAAGGCCCCCCACCTCAGGGGCAGCTCATCAAAGAAAGAGCATCCCCTAGGCACTGGAGACACAAAAGTGAGAGGGAACTGGGGTCTCCCTTGCAGACTGACACTCCACAGGCGAATGTGCAGTGGTGTCAGGAAGGAGACTTTCTCCGAGAGCCCTGAGCATCCACCGGGGTCGCCAACCTGACTCCTACAGGGGCCAGGAAAGTAAAAGAAGTGGGTGAAGTGAGCTGGGGTGGTGGTGGACAGCAGCAAACACACGAGCCCAGTGCCTT